CTTCTTGTTCACTACGGCGAGAAGAATTTTTAGCCCTGCTCTTTTCAATAGTTTCTTGTTTTGCCTAGCTCTTGCTATGTCCATGATCTTCGTTAGGCTCTGTCGTAGTTACGTTTTTGTGATCTGTCGTTTCATGACTGCTTTCTGTTGCTTCCATTTACAGCCACTTCTGTCCCGTTCATTCAGTGTCCCGCCGTTTTGCTTTTTCGTAATTAGTTTCTTCTTCGTTTGTCATGTTCTCTACTGTCATCTCGCTCTTGTTTGCGTTTTCTTGGACGTGTATTTCATTCGATTATTTTTTTTCTTTCTTCCAATCATGTTCTGATAATCCCAATGATTCTGGTAATCATTGATCAGTTTTCATTGTGTTGCTCCTCCTCAAAGTTCTGTTGTCGCTATCGTGTTCCAAATACGACTGCTTCCGGCAGTGTTTAATATAGTTTGTATTACTTCTTCCTTAAATCTTATATTTTCTCCGTTCTCATCCTATGCGACCATTTTCGTTAGATTTTTTCACGTCGGCCATTCGATTGTTTGTTGGGTCTTATCTTTGTTCTGTCAGAACTATGTTTCCTCAGCGCTTTTTTATTCATTCTGTTTTGCTCCTGCTCACACCGTTGCGAGAACTGTTTTTCGTAAACTTACTTGTTGTATTCATAGAAATATTGATGCGAGATCAGTCGATATTTTTGATTGCGCTTCTACAGCTCTCACCTTGCCTTCTTAGCCCTTCACTAGCTGCATGATTTCAAACATCTTTCGAACTATTGTATGTCTGTCTGGCGATATGCATCATTGTTGAAGTCCATCCTTTGCTTATCATTTGTATATTGCATAAAGTTGTATGTTTGCTTGCATGTTTTTACATTACTCGTCTATTTTCTGAATATATTATGCTTATGAACACATACATGAACATTTTCAATTTTTATGTGATTATATCATCGCCTTCTACTTGCTTTGCTTTTAAGTCAAAGCTGGTGTGTAATTAAGTATTTATTTACTCAGTTGTAAGTACATGCTCGTTTCGTTCTGGAACCGTAAATATATTTCAAATAAATTACTGTTTTAGCGATGTTGTGCTGCAGTTTTACTAAAGTTTTTCAAAATAGATAAAGTATGCAAATAAAAGACATAATTCATGAAATAATTTGAAATCTAATTTCAAACCTGGGATTCTTTTCCACTGAAAGTTCTTCTTAAGGAACTTCGTTTCCATAGAAACTTCCCGGTTGAAGCAACGAGCACATTAAAAGGCAATTTATTGCATTTCCTTGCTTCTGTTGCCGCACCAACTTTACAACCGGCACTAAAGCTGCCTGAAACCATTGCTAGTAAAAAACAGTGGGAAGCGGACAATTAATTTTAGATCTGAAAACGATAACTGCACATGCATTGACTCATCAGAATTTATGAAATTTAGTTTGGCACATGTAGTAGCTGATTAATAGGCACGAAATGTCTTTTGTAGCATCTACACGGCGTTGTGATGTTACGAGACTTTCAACATCATCAACGTATTGCTGAACACGAGCTGACGAGCTCATTTCAATTAATTTGCCAGAACGGTCATGTCCGTACATCAGCTGTCAGCTTCGACAGATCTTAGTGGTCACATGGTTGCCAGAGATTACACCCATTGGAAGAATCCACGGCAGACATAATATAAATGCATGGTCACGTTACTTGTGCCGTAAGCAGTAAATTCAGAGTTAAGCCAGCAGAACAGCCCCAGATATCACCGCCCAAAACTGTCCACAGACGCACTTCAATTATTTCTTACTCCGTAAAGGAAGATGCATTCTTGTAGTGTGGAGGAAAAGCGTCATACAGCATGTCATTTAATTTGTCAAGAAACTGCTAACCGGTTTTTGCATGTAGCTTAAGGTTTCGATATCCGGAAAATGACCACCCCTATGAAGGATTTTGCGCTGCCTTAAGGCTTAACCTTAATACGGTCAAAGATTTCCATAAATGGCTGTGCGAGTGTAAAACATACATGCATAATATTTGAAATTTTTTAAGTCGAACTCACACACTGGATCGTGTTGGATATCATACCGAACGTAAAGCATATTTATCCAGACAGAGTCTTGCCTGCTGGCACTTCTGTGCATAGAGAACTTGCAAAGAGACCGAATGTCCAACTCGATTGGACGCTTGGATTAAGAACAACACTTATCGCGTTCGGTACAATGATTATTACGTGAAAATCGGTAAAATATTAACCTGTTTTGGATAATACTGATCCTAAAAGTTGTTTTATAGTTATTCAGCATAATTAAACTTCTCGAATAATTTCTAAGGCTCATACCGATTCCTGCTGTGCATGGCTTGAAGGT